CCTATCCATCTATGACACTGGCAAAGAATCCATAGAGAGATAGATGAGTGAAGACACTACCTGAATCCCCATCCATCTGTGACACAGGCAAAGAATCTATAGAGAGATAGATGAGTAAAGACACTACCTGAATCCCCATCCATCTATGACACTGGCAAAGAATCCATAGAGAGATAGATGAGTAAAGACACTACCTGAATCCCCATCCATCTATGACACTGGCATTGAATCCATAGAGAGATAGATCAGTAAAGACACTAACTGAATCCCTATCCATCTATGACACTGGCATTGAATCCATAGAGAGATAGATGAGTAAAGACACTAACTGAATCCACATCCATCTATGACACTGGCAAAGATTTCATAGAGAGATAGATGAGTAAAGACACTACCTGAATCCCTATCTATCTATGACACTGGCAAAGAATCTATGGAGAGATAGATGAGTAAAGACACTACCTGAATCCCTATCCATCTATGACACTGGCATAGAATCCATAGAGAGATAGATGAGTAAAGACACTACCTGAATCCCCATCCATCTATGACACTGGCATTGAATCCATAGAGAGATAGATCAGTAAAGACACTAACTGAATCCCTATCCATCTATGACACTGGCATTGAATCCATAGAGAGATAGATGAGTAAAGACACTAACTGAATCCACATCCATCTATGACACTGGCAAAGATTTCATAGAGAGATAGATGAGTAAAGACACTACCTGAATCCCTATCTATCTATGACACTGGCAAAGAATCTATGGAGAGATAGATGAGTAAAGACACTACCTGAATCCCTATCCATCTATGACACTGGCATAGAATCCATAGAGAGATAGATGAGTAAAGACACTACCTGAATCCCCATCCATCTATGACACTGGCATTGAATCCATAGAGAGATAGATGAGTAAAGACACTACCTGAATCCCCATCCATCTATGACACTGGCAAAGAATCCATAGAGAGATAGATGAGTGAAGACACTACCTGAATCCCCATCCATCTATGACACTGGCATTGAATCCATAGAGAGATAGATGAGTAAAGACACTGCCTGAATCCCCATCCATCTATGACACTGGCAAAGAATCCATAGAGAGATAGATGAGTGAAGACACTACCTGAATCCCAATCCATCTATGACACTGGCATTGAATCCATAGAGAGATAGATGAGTAAAGACACTAACTGAATCCCCATCCATCTATGACACTGGCAAAGCATCCATAGAGAGATAGATGAGTAAAGACACTACCTGAATCCCTATCTATCTATGACACTGGCAAAGAATCCATAGAGACATAGATGAGTAAAGACACTACCTGAATCCTCATCCATCTATTACACTGGCAAAGAATCTATGGAGAGATAGATGAGTAAAGACACTACCTGAATCCCCATCCATCTGTGACACTGGCAAAGAATCTATAGAGAGATAGATGAGTAAAGACACTACCTGAATCCCCATCCATCTATGACACTGGCAAAGAATCCATAGAGAGATAGATGAGTAAAGACACTACCTGAATCCCCATCCATCTATGACACTGGCAAAGAATCCATAGAGAGATAGATGAGTAAAGACACTACCTGAATCCCCATCCATCTATGACACAAGCAAAGAATCCATAGAGAGATAGATGAGTAAAGACACTACCTGAATCCCCATCCATCTATGACACTGGCAAAGAATGTATAGAGAGATAGATGAGTAAAGACACTACCTGAATCCCTATCCATCTATGACACTGGCAAAGAATCCATAGAGAGATAGATGAGTAAAGACACTACCTGAATCCCCATCCATCTATGACACTGGCAAAGAATCCATAGAGAGATAGATGAGTAAAGACACTACCTGAATCCCCATCCATCTATGACACTGGCAAAGAATCCATAGAGAGATAGATGAGTAAAGACACTACCTGAATCCCCATCCATCTATGACACTGGCAAAGTATCTATAGAGAGATAGATGAGTAAAGACACAAACTGAATCCCCATCCATCTATTACACTGGCAAAGAATCCATAGAGAGATAGATGAGTAAAGACACTACCTGAATCCCCATCCATCTATGACACTGGCAAAGAATCCATAGAGAGATAGATGAGTAAAGACACTACCTGAATCCCCATCCATCTATGACACTGGCATTGAATCCATAGAGAGATAGATGAGTAAAGACACAAACTGAATCCCCATCCATCTATTACACTGGCAAAGAATCCATAGAGAGATAGATGAGTAAAGACACTACCTGAATCCCCATCCATCTATGACACTGGCATTGAATCCATAGAGAGATAGATGAGTAAAGACACAAACTGAATCCCCATCCATCTATTACACTGGCAAAGAATCCATAGAGAGATAGATGAGTAAAGACACTACCTGAATCCCCATCCATCTATGACACTGGCAAAGAATCCATAGAGAGATAGATGTGTAAAGACACTGCCTGAATCCCCATCCATCTATTACACTGGCAAAGAATCCATAGAGAGATAGATGAGTGAAGACACTACCTGAATCCCAATCCATCTATTACACTGGCATTGAATCCATAGAGAGATAGATGAGTAAAGACACTACCTGAATCCCCATCCATCTATGACACTGGCAAAGAATCCATAGAGAGATAGATGAGTAAAGACACTAACTGAATCCCCATCTATCTATGACACTGGCAAAGAATCTATAGAGAAATAGATGAGTAAAGACACTACCTGAATCTCAATTCATCTGTGACACTGGCAAAGAATCCATAAAGTGATAGATGAGTAAAGACACTACCTGAATCCCCATCCATCTATGACACTGGCATTGAATCCATAGAGAGATAGATGAGTAAGACACGACCTGAAACCCAATCCATAGAAGATAGATGAGTAAAGACACTACCTGAATCCCTATCCATCTATGACACTGGCAAAGAACCCATAGAGAGATAGATGAGTAAAGACACTACCTGAATCCCCATCCATCTATGACACTGGCATTGAATCCATAGAGAGATAGATGAGTAAAGACACTAACTGAATCCCTATCCATCTATGACACTGGCAAAGAATCCATAGAGAGATAGATGAGTAAAGACACTACCTGAATCCCCATCCATCTATGACACTGGCAAAGAATCCATAGAGAGATAGATGAGTGAAGACACTACCTGAATCCCCATCCATCTATGACACTGGCAAAGAATCCATAGAGAGATAGATGAGTAAAGACACTACCTGAATCCCCATCCATCTATGACACTGGCAAAGAACCCATAGAGAGATAGATGAGTAAAGACACTACCTGAATCCCCATCCATCTATGACACTGGCAAAGAACCCATACAGAGATAGATGAGTAAAGACACTACCTGAATCCCCATCCATCTATGACACTGGCATTGAATCCATAGAGAGATAGATGAGTAAAGACACTACCTGAATCCCCATCCATCTATGACACTGGCAAAGAACCCATAGAGAGATAGATGAGTAAAGACACTACCTGAATCCCCATCCATCTATGACACTGGCAAAGAATTCATAGAGAGATAGATGAGTAAAGACGCTACCTGAATCCCCATCCATCTATGACACTGGCAAAGAATTCATAGAGAGATAGATGAGTAAAGATACTACCTGAATCCTCATCCATCTATTACACTGGCAAAGAATCCATAGAGAGATAGATGAGTAAGACACTCCTGAATCCCCATCC